TGCGAGCACTGGCAGCACTCCAGTGCATTAGGAATCTACTAATCCGCTCTGAGATTGTGAACTTAACTGAGTTAAAAACACAGAACAAAGCGATGAAGAAGTGCGAAGAAATAAACGCAAGTGGGTTGAGTTTCGATAGATATCTGTAGAAGTTTCAATAGATATCTGTGGAAATTCGAACAAATCCGTAGAAATTTCGCACAAAGCGGTATGTTGAATGGTATCCACGTAATGGTGAGCATACAGTTTGAGGCCATCTGTGTAATATCAAGGGTCCAGTTAATCTCTTATATGAATTCTCGTAGATGTGGCAATCTCCAAGCCGAAGGAACACCACAGTATTGTGGGAAAGTATGTAAGCATAATCATTACAAAGATTAGCAAAGTTGGCCTGAACAATCCTGGCGGAGATCCGATGTTAGCAATGTTACTGTGCTGCGCCAACAGTACAGCTGTGTCGGCCCAGTCTGCATTCAGCGCATCCCTCCAGTTCGTTGCAGGCTTGTCGAGCAGTAGTTGACTTTTTTGCGAGTACCACTCATTAATACGCAATTACTACTGCAAAGCAAAATTATGCCCCTGCCCATCCAACTTTACTTTCTTATGTGGTCGCAGAAGTATGACGCTGGTCCGACAGACAGTTTAGCTGCTTACGTGGAAATGAAGAAATTTTAGAGTGCTTACACTAGCTTTTAAACCTGCTAATTATACCAGGGGCCTTTGTGGCTGTAATAACCCTTAATATTAAAAATTACTTTCAAGAAAATGTTAAGACAAACAAAGAATAACAAACCATTGTCACAACACGTGGGAAATGTCTGTCTTATATATGGAGAACGGTCCGTGTTAACGGTTCGGCGACGCCGGCTTGCAGAAGGTACATCAGCATCAGGCTCTTCATCTGCCGATCGTTTACGCGACGTTTCAGCAGATGCCATTGATACCGCCGATGTTTCTGAACTCATTACAACCGATTATTTTTGAACAAGAGACAAATTACCATACAAGAAACTGCCAGCGGTGAACTGATTCGAGGATGCGGATTCAGGAAATCGTAAAATATAACTCGTGGAAAAAACTGCTGTCTTTTGTGGGATCTTATCCACGATGCCAACGACAGTTTGCTGCTAATAACAGGCCCAGTATAACGATATGTGATGTCTACGTCCAGCTTCAGTCGTTCTCGAATCTATCACTAGGGGAACCAACTCTACCAGTTTACTGATCCGATTCAGTGACAAAATTGCACTGCCATGGCTACGGACGAATGTGAGTCTGACCAGTTGGGGTGGTGCGGGTAAACATCATGCAACAATAAAAAACACGAAAACGCAAAGCGTATTAAACCCCCCCCCCCCCTTACATGGTATAACCCAGG